AAAAGAATTAAAAAAAAAAAAAAAGAATTAAGGTAAAAATAATCCAGGCATGGTAGCACATGCCTATAATCCCAGCACTCAGGAGGCAGAGGCAGGAAGATGGTGCCACCTTGACCTACATAGCAAGTTCCAGGCCAGCATAAACTACACAGAAAGACCCTTACCTTAGGAAGGGAGACAGGGAGGGAGGGAAGGAGGCAGGCAGGCTGGCCAGACCATTTGCAAAGAAAATTTTTTAAAAATCTGAAACTCAAGGAAATAATATAATCAATATGACTAAGTTTGAGAAAAGAGAAGAAAAAGAAGAAAAAGAGAAGTGGTCAAAGTTAACTGCTGAAGTATTTGTTCATATGTGTGAAAGATGATATATAATTCACAAAATGAATAAAGCAGGTATGGGAAGGAGTTAATGAGACAGAGAATTTTGGGTACCTGTGGAGACATCGACTGGAACTAATAGGCAAAGGGTATTTTTGAAAGAAATCTAGAGAATTTAGGAGTTGTTCAGTATAAAGATGGTAAATGGAGCCAAGAAATTAGATAAAATTTTCAGGGAGAGTGTACAGAATAAGAAGAGCCTTTGCCCTAGGCCAGAATCTTGAGGAAAGCCATTATTTGAAAGGCAGAGAAAAGGTCCAGAGCAAAGGAAGTGGGTATTATCAAGAAATTAATGGTAAGGACTTAATACCCAATGCTAAGAAATCAAGAATATTAAGAATATATTTTAGAAAGATAATTCTGACCACATCACCCTCTCTTCATCAATTTTATTTTCTTCATGACACTAATTATCTGGAATTCATACATTTATTCATCTGTCTCTCATTACAATGTTAGCTCTATGAGACCAGGAATCCTGTATATCATATTCACTACTGTCTCCATAAGGTTTAGTAATGTAGTAGCTACTTACTGTACTGAAAAGATCAAGGCAAAAATACAAAAGGACTGTAAAAAGAGTTGAAAGAGAGATTTGAAAGTCATATTGGAGGCAAAGTCATCAGAACATGGTGACTGATTAAATATAGATTTGGAAAAGTTTTCAAAGATTACTACAAACAAAGCTTAATTTGTTAGATGATCAGGTGAATCAGGTATACCAATCATAGTTTTGCATTCCAAAGTCACTTAGCTTCTGTACTTAATACTCCCACTTCCAAGAACTTTCACAAATCTGAAGACACGGTAATTTGAATATTTTAGGAAAAGCTATTAATAAATTTTAGAACATATTCTGCATGGCATCTGGTGAACAAAATATCTTGTATACATGGAGACTCCTCTTAACAAGGCAGAGCTGTGTTAATGAAATCACCTAAAACATTTCCTATCAAATGCATCCAAAGTAAGTGGATTGTGAAGTAGTTAAGCACATACAGACTTCAGGAGGAAGTAGAAGAGGTTTCAAATTTCACCTGTGCCACTTAACCACATAAACTTTCTAAATAAGCACCCCAGTTTCCTTATCTTTATCTCACAACAGAAAATACTATATAAATATTAATCTTTTCTGGTAAAGAAATGCTTTCACAAAAAACACCAGTTAATTACTAGCCAAATTAGTTGATACACAGTCAAATATAAGGAATACTACTCAAATCTCATTAAGTTCAATGGAATGCCAATGCTAATCCAGCTGCTTAACTTGATTATCTCTCACTTCTTTCCTGCATAAATTCTCCACTCCAAAAAGGCTCATTCATCTTGTCATATGAATACATCCTACATATTCCTAAAACTTCATTTATAGTTTCTCTTACTCTCCTCCCTTCTCTTTAATCCTACTCAGTCAAGACTCTCCTAAAATTCTTGTATTTCTCTCAAGCTTCTCAACTGACCATCCAAGTCCACCATAATTTCTTCTCCAAGAATTCCTGTAACATTTTTCCATATCCCTCAGTTAAGATTAATAAAGTATAGGTGAGCTTTGTAACTCTTAGTTCTTAACTAGTTAATCACTAATCATGGGCTCTGCACAATAGTGTGTGCATATCTGAAACTGTTACATGTAGCCCCATCTAATACCTTAATGACTGGTCAAGAAAGGATAAAACATTTAATTAAACATTTAATGAAACAGGTCCTATGTTCTTCCTTCCCATTATGCTGACGTGATTATTAAAGAAGCAACAGTCACCAAAATATATGTTCACCTTGCCTGTAGGCAGACCTTAGCCTTTTCTTCCCATCTTTCAGACACTGTAAGGAGCTCCTGTAGCTCAGCCATTGCTTTCTCCACAGCATGGTGGGGTGCCAACCCTACCCCAGAGTCAATCAGTTTTTTCATGATGTCCAAAGTGACTTGCTGTGGATCTGAGAGGGTCAATCTTACTTCATCCAACCACCGAGCCTGCTGTAGCTCTTGCTTCAGTCGAGGTAATTCAGGTAGCTCCACATATAGACTAGAACCCATGTCTATCAACATCTGGAGTTTGGAAGAATCTGGGGTTTCATCCATCATTGCTTCCTGAGCTCGTTCATGGAACTCTTCCACATCATCAAGCAAATTCTGAAAAGGACAAAATAAAAAGCAAATGCTTGGGGTGTGCCTTAGTGGTATAGCACTTGCCTAGCATGTACAAGG